ACGCGGTAGCAGACGAAAGAGAAATGAAAGAATTTACACTCGTTACAACGGTAATTTAATTGAAATTGTCTCAGAAGATTCTATACGCCAAAACGGAACATCGAGAGAAGAAAATTGAAAATTGAAACTGTATGCAAACTGAAATTAAAGCTTCCATAAATTTACGACGCACGAGCGTACGACTGCGAGGCTTTCCATTTCTTTCCGAACCGGTGCCAGAATCCTCCACCCTTGATAAATCGTTGAGAAAGGAAAAGAAAGCCCCGAGGAAAAAGCGAGAGACACGATGCAACAAGATGCATAAACTTCTGGCCCATTAGCCGGCCATTTTTCCACCGTTAAAGCGAAGAATATTTAATAAATTTGCCGCGAGCGTATTACGTGACACGCCACTGTCACTGTGTGCCCACCCCTAGCGCGCACCCCTTTCACGGGCGAATTATTTGAATTATTGCCTTAGAGCGGAGAGTGCCGCGTAAATTTCTTGCGGTGGCGGGCGATTGCTCCTTGCGAGGAGTCGGCTGGCTTTTAAGCCGAGCCTCGCCGCGAACATTCTTCCGATAGTCCTTCGACTTCCGTGCAGCACGATGCGACTGTCTATTATCGGCACGATGAAAATTGTACTCGAATAGCGAGAAATTGGAAATTGGATCGCGGGGATTCGAGGCAGAAAAATTTCAGATGAATTGGGGGTGGGAAACTCGTAAGTAACAGACACTCGCAGAACGATGTTTCGTTATCATGTTTTATCAATGACGTGTTATTATTTTGCGTGTTATTTTATCACGTAATTTTGGTAATAATTATCGGTGACGTAGACTTTCTTAATTATGCGAAAGTGTGAATTTCTGTTTTTGTAAGAACAGGTTGAATGAAATTTTGTAAATTCTCTCGACATTTTCTTTATTCACGGATACTTCAATACTTTACCCAACTCAAAAATTTGGGTATGTTGAGATTCCAAAAATCTTTTTCAAATCAATTAATATTATTTTCTTGTACCACCGACATTTCAATCGATTACATTTAAAATATTCTCGTTTCTTAAAAAGAAACGATCTACGAGATCCTATCTGTTTCATTTGAAGAGTAAAAGAGAGTGCTCTAAATTAATTTTTGAGAATGTTTCGCGTTTAACATGAATTCAAGAAACAAAGAGATCCTATTTTTATTGTTATTTGTTACCATTGTTGCATTTCTAATGCTCTGTGATTATTATTTATAATACTAATCATCGATTTAAAATTCATCGAAAAAGAAAGACGAACGAAATCGTTGTTGTCGGAATAAAATCGCATACTCGCGTTTTCGTTCCCTATTCAGCCATCCGTGAAACGCGGGTATACTCGACTCTCTTCTCTCGATAATCGTAGCTCGTAGAAACGTATTATTGCTGGTGGATAATTTTCGAGAAGCCCGAAGCATTCAATGGAGGAGTCGACAAAAGTATATCGAGAAGTTGGAAGAGAGATTCGAAGGGAAACCAGGCTAAAAGTTGCAACTCACCGGAAGGAGAGGGGGGGTGGGGAGACAGTCTACGGAATTTTCAAAGCGTTTATCGACGCTTTGCAATCCACGATTCTAAAGTTAATATTTATCTTGGCGACGACCATTAACAGAAAATACGCCGACGTTCCGCAATGTTTTCTCTTCTTTTTTTTCAATTCCCAATTCTTCTTCTCTTTTCTTTCCACTTTTTAAAATTTTTATCTATATATGTGTCCTTCTTTCACATAGTTTCGAGATCGACGTGTCCAAAATACGCCGAGTTCTCCAACTTCTTTTCTTTTTTTCGTTTGCAATTTTCAGTTCTTTTTTCCTTTTCTCTGTACTTTTTTTTTGTTTTCAAGTTTCTACTTGTATTTACCTTTCATTCGCAAAGTTTCACGATCAACGACGTTTTATCGATTCTAAAATCGAGTAAGGATTATTTGGAAAAAATACGCCAACTTCACGTTCTCCGATTCTTCTTCTTTTCCTCTTTTCTCTCTATTCCTTTTAATTTCCATTTGTATTTACCCTTCCATCACGGAGTTTCAAGACTAACGACGTTTTATCGATTCCGAAATTGAATAAAGAACTTATTTAACAGAACTTCACGTTCTCCAATGTTTTTCAACATCCGAGTATTCCTCTCTTTTTAAATTTTGATTTCTGTTTGTCCTCCTTTCCAATAATTTCAAAGTCAATATTTGCCTCGGCGAACGATTATTATTAGCCAAAAGTTCCCTAATGTTTTCCAATTTTTTCCGCCCTTCGATCGCCTTCGGCCCGTTCTTTATCTGAATTCTATTTTCGCCGGTTCTCCTTTCACAGAGTTTCAGGATTAACGACGCGTCATCCGTCGTGACACGCGCGCGACGACGTGATAAATCGTTGTCGAACAAGGAGCAATAATCGTCAGTACTAGCCACCGAAATGTGCAATTTACCCATGCTATTAATTATCATGGTCCGGGCAGCGGCGTCGATAAATAATGTTTCCACATCGGCGGACTTTTCCGCGTACGCCATTTGAAAATTGACTATCGAGAGGATATCAGGCAGAGGGGATGGTTGTGGTTCGACGAAGGGGGAGAGAAAACGCTGCGTGTAACCTGAGCAATTTTTGCGGTTTGCTTCTCGCTGGCATTCGTATGACGAGTTTGTTCAATCGTTCGTGTATTTTATTTAAAAAAAAAATTTTTTTTTGTTTTTCTCATTTTCTTCGTAATTGACGATACGTCGAATTGTAACGTTTCACCAGGGATCAACGTTGCTTTCTTCTTTTTTTTTTGAATGATGAAATTTTCGAGAGGAGCAACTTCGTAGAACATCCTCCCAGGATAAATCGTGCGTCTATTTACGCTGTTCGGGTTTCTTCTGTTCGTAAAAGGAGAGAGTCCCCCGACTGGCTGGAGATTTCGCTAATTAAGTTTCTACGACGTGATTTCCATAATTTTCGTAGGATCTGAGAAGCGTCGAGGAGAGCACGCAAACCAGCCGAAACTAATTCCTCGAGTTCCGTAACTGTAATGAACAGTAATGCCACTCGAATCGATCGTACGGTGATTAAATTAACGAATTATGATCTCGCGTCGTAATTCCTCCCGTTTATCCATGTCGAAGACAGACCCTGCCTCCTCGT